TTCTCTGGGAGATAAATTAAGATCATCAATTATTCTAATATGAACATCAGGTTTGTCAAAAACTTTTTTTGAATTATCAAACTTTTCAATATTTATGTGAGTTGTCATTCCAGATTTTGATGCATGTTTACCATAAAGTTGCCTGCTTACACCAGCAAAATAACCATACCGATGACCTTAAAATAATTCCAACATAAGGACAAAAAAATAAAGGAAAATAACAAACTTTAAGTTAATAAAAATAAGTATTTTTGATACTAAATATTTAATTTTATTCATATATACTTAATAATCTTGAAATTAAAAGAGCAAGAAAGAGATTGACAGAAGAATAAAAATGTATCAGTAAAACATGAAGATGGGAGAGAACTATCAATGTTCTCAGAAAAAAAACAAGACAAATAAACCATTTTGTTAGCATGAAAATATAGCTACAGTAAAATAATACAACTTACCTGAATGACGAGTGGCGCAAGATTGAGTTTTGATGGTTGATGGCTGTATTAAGTAACTTAAAGTAACTTTAGTAATTTTTCAAACATCTTAAGTATCAAAGTAAATTTACATTAAGTAAAATCAAACCTTTTTTTTTTCAAATTAAACAAACAGGAAATTGGTATTTTATAAAAATTTGTGTAAAAGTAGTCCTATTATTAATTTTGTATACAGCTACTCTAAAAGTAAAATATTACTGTTTTTTTAAATTAGATTTTAATGATATCTTGGCTATGTTTTACTATATTTGCTGACTCTAATGGATTTTGCTAAACACATTGCTGCCTGTCTTTAAAAAAAAAAAGGTTTAGTAATCTGAGGATAATAATTATGAGATCAGACAGCATCTTTTCGTCTGAGGTTTTTACATCAATTTCTTGCAATAATAGAAAAAATATTTGTGCACTATAGAGTTGAAAGAGTAAATCTGACTAAGCATGAGATACAAACAGCCTAAAAGAAAACAAAAAGTAACTAAGATTCTTCTTTGCTACTTCTTGTTTTCTTATTAGCTAGGATTAGAGACAAAAATCAAGGTGCAAATTGAAGCGTTTAGGGTTGTCTAAAAAGCAAGTCAATAAGTTAAATATCTGAGTAGGAGAATAAAAAACAAAGATTTTAGCTTTAGAGTCATCAATAACAACAAAATTTTAGCTTAAGAGTCATCAATAATAACAAAATTGGTTGGGATAAAGAAAAAGGGTTTCTTTGATTTGATCAGAAACAAAATCAAAGAGTGCAAAATTAGAAGTAGGAAATCAATAAAGAATAAAAAAAAAAAAAAGAAGGTGATTGAGTGAAGAGGAGCTAAGCTAAAGGACATAAAAGAATAGTGAGAGGGCTCAAATCTGATTTTATGATAATAGATTAATTGATATATAACTATATACCTAGGCCAACCATGTGGCAATTGCACTTTTGCAAATCAAAGGATAAATTAGCCATTAACTCTAAGATCCAAAGATGAAACAACCGAAAACTAAATTAATTTCACAAAGAGAAAGCCAGATGAATTTTGCAAAAAGTAAGATTTAAAAAATGCAAAAGTTACTTTAAAGATCATGAATATTTATAAAAAAGAAATAAGTTGAAACAATTTGGTGGTAATGATGTTTTGTTAAGCTTTTCACGATTTAGAGAACTTGACGCAATCACAGAGAGTGCACTCTAAGGAATAAGCTAAGTATCACCATCTGAATAAATAGACATCTGGTTGCCTCACTCAATTGACTTAAAGCCATCTGGCAGTACTATGACAAACTCTAGTACAAACACTGACTTTGTATAAAGTATAGATTCAACACTAATTAATGTTACTAACAATAATAAATGTTACTCTATTTAATGACTTAAAACAACAAAACATTTAACTTAAAGCAACAAAAACAAAATTATAAGTAAAAAAATTGCTAACTATATATTTCATCGATTTCTTCTTTGCGGAAATCTTTTTTAATTTCTGATGTTAGTTCTTGAATTGCACGATGCTCATCTTTGAGAGTTCTAATTCCAGAGAGAATTCGTGATTCAAGTGAATTTTCTTGAGAACCAAAAATTTGATGTTGATGATGACGTACATGACGTTTCTTGTTATGAACTGTCTTTTTTGAATGTTTTCTTCTGTTTGACCCAATGCAAGTGGCATCTGAGTTTGATTTGCTAGAATTTAAGAAAAAAATAAATAATCAAGAAAATGAAATCAACTTGAACTGAACATATTACTGAAATAGGGAGCTGTGGGGGCTTCATTGCATACATCAACTGACTAAATCCCGATTTACTCAGCCAATAAACATGCAAAGAGTGCTGCTACATTGACTAAGGGTTTGGTTTGGGGCAATTATTGTTTTTTTCATTAATCTTTATTTTTCTTCTTTTTCCAGAAAATTAAAGCACACATCTTAAGAATTTAAGCACACAAAGTATATTAGAAAATTGCTTCTCTAAATACATATTGTATCTAGAGAAGCAATTATCTAATATCGTTGTAATTTTTTTCTAAACAAAATGTTAATTTTATTTATTATCTAATATATTTAATAATATATAATTATATGATAATATATATAATTTTTTTTTTTTTTTTTAATTATCTTCGCTTTCAACAAGGCTGCAAGCAACCACTAATTTGTGTTGGAAGTTACTGGAAGAGAAAAGATGAAGATTATAGAGCAAGATAACGATTGACAGACAACTTAAAAGATTGCAAGCTATAAGAATCAGGAAAGCAAGATGAAGGAAGCAAATTCCAAAGAACTGATGTTCAAGGAAAAAAACTAGAAGAATAAGAGTTTTAGGAGCACTTAGGAACAGTAACAGAAAAAGGATGAGACTTAATTGAATGACGAGTAACACGAGAATGAATTTTAGTAGATGGCACAAGTGACGCTAGCTCTTTCGAGCAGTGCCCATTATAGTATTTGTAGAAAAGAGAAAAGAGAAGCAACATTACTACGATGTGACAGAGGTTGAAGGTTGGCTGCAAGAGCAGGTCCAACTATGTTTACAATGCGTTTTTGCACCTTGTCTTAAAGAGAAAGGGCATCATTAGAAGATCCACCCCAGATATGGCAACAGTATTCCATACAAGGCCGGATTTGAGATTTATAGAGATAGAGAATAGACTCCAGAGTAAGAAAGTGATGAGCTCGATAAAGAGAAGCAACTTTAGCAGATGCTAATTTCAATGGATTTGATATAAGGTTTCCAAGAAAGATCAGAAGTAAGAGTTAATCCTAGAAGATGAAGGGTAGGAGACTCATCGAGTACATTACCGTTCATAAATATAGGAAGGTCTAAACTATTGCGATAACGATTGGCTGAAAAAAATTGTTTTATCTGAATTAAAGTTCACCAGCCACTGTGAGCCCCATGCTGTAGCAGAAGTGAGATCCTTTTCAAGCTCAGATGCCCCCTGCAAGCAATCAGAGGGAGTTGGCTTCCTATCGTGAAGAGAATAAATGGTAGTATCATCAGCAAACAATGCCACCTTAGATGTGAGAATATCTGGAAGATCGTTAATGTAAATTAAAAAGAGTATAGGGCCAAGGATTGAACCTTGAGGAACCCCTGAGCTTACAGAATAAGAAGAAGAGTGCTGTCCATCAAGGACAACTTTTATACTATGATTGGAAAGGAAGGATTCAATAATCTTAAAGATGTTTCTAGATACACCGTAAGAAGGAAGCTTATGGAGAAGACCAGCATGACAAACTTTATCAAACCCTTTAGAAATGTCAAGAGCAATGGCCTTAACCTTTCCACCTTTATCTAATGCATGATAAAACCTATCGGTTATTACTGATAGCAAATCAGCTGTAGAACTAGAAGATCGAAATCCATATTGATGATCAGAAAGTAGGTTATGAGATTCGAGATGAGAGATTGTTTGTTAATTAAAGATTTAAAAAACTTGCTTATGATAGGAAGAAGACTAATGGGACGGTAGTTAGACGAATTGGATCGCTCTCCAGAATTTTTAAAAATAGGGATAACAGATGCTGCTTTCCAACAGGCTGGAAAACAAGACTCTGATAAGCACTTGTTGAATAGTTTTGAAAGGATAGACGACAGCTCTAGAGAACACTTCTGCAAGACTATAATAGGTATGTTGTCTGGGTCACAAACTGTAGAAGAGTCTAAGCAGGAAACTACTTTAGATACAGAAGCTGGAGTGATACGAATGTCAAGCAATGGATCAACCTGTTTGACGCCTATACCAGGTAGAACGCAACTAGTGGAATCAAGAGATAATATTGATGAAAAGTTTTTAGTAAACAATTCAACTTTGTCTTTAGGAGAGGTGACAAAGTCTGAACCATACAAAAGAGGTGGAATTACAGACTTGCCCTTATTATTGATACTATTAAAGATTCTCCAAAAGTCACGAGAGCCTAATTTTTGTGATTAAATATGAGATTTCATGACCTGAGAATAGTGGGCTTTGGCATTAGACAAAATCTTTTTACAATGGTTCCTAGCAGTAATAAACAGATGTCTGTTTTCTGGAGAATTGTTTTGCTGATAGATATGGAAGTAATGGTTTTGATTGGCAATTGCAGCAGCACAATGTGAGGAAAACTATGGAGAAGAGTGAGGCTTGACCTGGAATCATTGAGAGGGAATAAAGGATTCCATGCCAGCCTGAATCCACGAAGTTATGTAAGAAGCACATTTGTCAACAGGGAGACGAAAGATTTCTACCCAGGGGCCATCACGAAGAAAATTATGGAAAGAGTCCCAGTCAGCTTTAAGGTAGTTGTAAGACGTACGATGATAGGGGGATTCTGATGGTAAAGAAGAATGAGATAATAGTTTTAGAGAGACCAAACCATGATCAAAAGCACCTAAGGGTGAGTGTGAAGACACTGAGCACTGACTAGGATCAGAAACAAGACATAAATCAAGTAGAGAAGGTAAATGATTCGGGTTGTCTGGAAAGCGAGTTGGAAAGTTGACTATTTGAGTTAGGGATTGAGAAAGACAAAAGTTGTGGGCCTTAATGCCTGCAGAGTCACTGACACTAGAGCCAAGCCATTCAGTGTAATGAACATTAAAGTCACCGACAACAGCAATATTGGCAAGGATAAAGAATGAGGGCTCGGTCAATATAATTAGAAATAACATCAAAAAGAGTGCAGTCTTGAGATGAGGGAGAACGATATAGATTAAAGAGAAAGGTGATAGAGTGAAGTGGTGCTAAACTAATGCACATAAAAGAGTAGTGGATTAAAATGTGGATTCAAACCTAGTTTCCTGACAAATTGGTGAATTCTTACAAATGTAAATGCCTAGGCCAAGCATGTGACTATTGGAGTCTTTACGAATTAAAGAAAGATAACCATCAACACTAAGATCACAAGATGAGACAGCTGAACTCAAATTAGTCTCACAAAGAGCAAGTAGGTCTGGTGAACTTTGCAAGAGATAAGACTCAACAGAAGAAAAGTTACTTAGAAGACCACGAATATTAATGAATGATAGGTTTAGCGAACTTGGTGATGACTGTGGTTTTTTGTGTTTTATAGTTTTTGTTACTTTATTCATTTTTAAATTTGTTAAAGATCTTGACTCGAAACATAGATAGTACTCAGTACACTGTTTTATAGCCCAAGCAGTTGCCTCATTTCCATTAATAAACCCTAACCCGTAACAAAGGGCTCCAATGTGGCCTTGGCAATGCACACCAAAAGTACAAACAGGGGCACTATCCATGCGCAACATGGCACTGTTAGTACTCTGATATTTTTCAGCTGTTGATGGAATCAGCCTCTCTGAGAGCTACCACAGAGTTCGGGAAATCTGACTACCAGCCGGCCTCAGAACCATAAAAATGAGTTTTAGAGCTGTACCCTCATTTGGAGATAATAGAATGAGTTGCCTAGCAATAAAAACAGAGACAAAAGCAAAACCCATGAATTGAGTCAAGAAGATCCAGCGTTCAACATCCTAAACTGGAAACAATGTATTAAAATTACATCTGCGCCAGCCTAATAGATGAAGAAGGGGTGCGAGGCTGGTCAACAGATAGAATCTGTTTACCCCTTAAGTATTTGCCTAGGAGGCCTTCTACAAGACAGCAGCCTGATGCATTTAACATCTGCCAAAGATGAGTATTTTTATCGAGACACCATCTCTAGCCAAGAGCCCCAAGGCAGGGGGTGTTTTATATCGAAGTTTGCATCTCCTAGCCTTTGACTAAAAAGGCATATCCTACAAAGCAGCAGGACACGAAGCAGATTGTACTGGGTTACATGTTACCAGTAGCAGGATAAACCTGACCTGACCATAGGATAAACCTGACCTGACCATAATTATATAACCTAACTAATTTACAAAACTTTTTTTATTTACAAACAATAGAATAACATTTAAGATGTTAGAGCAAAGAGGGATATATGGGCTGTTGATGGGTCAGGAACTAGACTCAGACCGGACTTGTATATACGGGTCTGCTTTTATGTCAGTTATCAACCAAATATAAGGTAACAACCAAGTATCAGACCCAAACTAGATCCATACCTGATTTACTTTATGGGTTTAAGTCCAGATCCATCCCAGTCACGCCAAAACAAGACCAAGAATAATGTGTAGCATTTTTGGGTGTGAGGTATTAAGTGTATGTGTCATCACGGTTAAAACAGTTAAGGTGTTTTATCAACACTTAAAATATTTTTCACTTAGAAAATTATTCTAAAGATTGAAACTCAAAATATAATACTGAAAACAAGAAAGATAGAAAAAAAGTTGCATTATTAAGCTTAAAAGAAATGAGGAGTAACATTCTGTCAAGACAACAAACTTTGCTTTTATAAGACCTTATTTTCTTGGTTTTTCTTTATATTTTAACTTTAATACTTCACTCATAACTTCAGAATTTGTTTGCTAAGAGAAAAGCGATTAATTTAGTTGTTTTTTTAATAAAATAATCCCTGTTTAATATATGAAAATTGAATATTTATTTTAAAATATTTAATTTTCATATATTAAAAAATATTAAAATTTTATTTTTTTGAAAATACCTTAATATTATTTATGTAAATATCTTTAATGACAATTACAATAATATTGTTTCCTCTGCAACAGAGGAAAATCTTTAGAAAAATATGAATTATATATTGGATATCTTCATGAGCCACAGCGACCAGGGATTTTTTCAAATTAATATTTAATGAGCCAGGATACTATCAATAAATCTTAATTTACAAAAATGAGCTACCCGATAGCTCATTTGATTAGAGCACTGCTAAAGTTCAAAATAATCATTATTGCAGGTTCCAATCCCAGCTCTGCCTACTCAGCCCATGGTAGTACTTTAGTTTAAAATAACTCATCTCGAATAGCTCTACTATTATGCTTCCTTACTAGTAAATAAAAAATCTAGTTGAGTAAATTAAGATTAAAAAAAAAAAAAAAAAAAAATTAAAAAATTATAATTAATTATTAATATATTGATTTTTTTGCAAAGAAGTAAATTGAATGTTATTAAATAAACGGAAACACTTTTATCTGCTTGCATCTAAATATACAAAATATAATTAACATGTGATAAGCGGAGATAACATGTGATTAGTGGAGATAACATGTGGTTCAGAACCTTTACTGTAAAAGATCTTGATTAGAGTTTAAGAAAATTTTTTCAGTTTTTAAAGAAGCCTTAAAGTTACGGCAACAAAAGTTCATCATCCCACTAATGTTTAGGAAACATTTGGAATTAAAATATTTTACTCCCACAACTGTGAAAATATATAACTTTTGCTTACAACTGTGAAAAGATATACTGTCCAAAAATTTTTGCTAACAACTATGCAAAGATGTACTACCCAAAAATTTTTGCAAACAACTATGTGAAAATATACTTAATCTACCCAAAAATAAGGTTAGGAAGCTTTTTTTCAAAACTTTATAAAAAATTTTTTACATCTGTTTTTTGTAATTTTTTTAAAATTTTGCCAGAACTTTTTTGTATTATTATATAATATTGTACTTTGTTGTGCATTACTTCTGTTTTCACTTTTTGTTGTGCTACATTATTTTAGCTAGATTATTTGATAATAAGATATTAAACTAAAATATCCTAAACTATTTTTTCTTTGCTACTCACCATGACAGAATTTGCAAATCATACAAATCTAAGAAAACACATGAACATCAATAGCACCATCTAACATTTGCAGTCTATGCAAATCCCACATTTGTATAGAATATTAATATAAAAAAACAACAGTAGACTAAGATCAACATTAGATATTTAAAAAATTATAACTCCTTTTTCTTAAAACATATAACTAAATAAAGTGAAATAACAAACAAATCTTATATTCAAAACCTACTAAACTTAAATTAATGCAACTAATCTACAATAATGACAAAACTGTAAAAACTGTTTATCATAAAGCAGGGAGACATGTGCGAAAAAAGACCTTTTTTTTGTGCAAAAAAAGACCTTTCTCTACCTTTTTTTTAGCTTCTATTCTTTTTGGTTAAGTTTTAAAAAATAAACCAGGTATACATTCTAAAATTTTAAATGATTCAAAGAAAACTGTGTTTACTAGATAAAATTCAATTTTATGAGCATTTTATTCTTTTTCTTTTTTTCTTTTTTAATATATTTTTTACATGAACAGGTTTAAAAAACAAAATTGTTTATTTATTTATTTATTTTTTACCTAAAAAAAATATACAACCTATAATAAAAAAACAATTTAAATAAATAGTCAATTTTTGCATTTATTCCAATCTCTGACAAACTTTTTTGCCTCCAATATGCAAACTTTTAAGATATTTTTTAAATCTGGCATTTTCTCACTAAGTTATCATAAACCAAATAATAATTTCTGACGTATGAATATATAGTAAAATAAAAATACTAAAATCTAATTTTTCAAATTCAAAATTTCAAAAATATATTTGTTCAACTCTAATTATAGCCATAATTTATGAAGTTACAACAAATGTATAACTAACTTGAAGAATCAAAAAATGTAGAAAAATGAATTGTAATAAAAGCCTCTTTTTATAGAAAAGAAAGGACAATTATGGTTTTGATTTATTTTTATCTGAAGCTCCCATATCTCCTTAATTCAATGTTTGAAGTAAACATATTGAAAATGTGTTTATTTCAAACATATGGAAAAAAGTAGATACGGAATATACAGCAGTATGCACCTAATGATGCATTTTTTGATATAAGCATATATATATATATATATATATATATATATATTATATATATATATATATATATATATATATATATATATATATATATATATATATACTCTGATAAAAATCTTGGGTAATAATCTTCCTATTGATAGACAGATTGGAAAATCCTCCTAGAATTATAATAACATTAGCCAGTCCTGATCTGTAAAAAAAGGTTAACATCAGAAAGAGGATTTGGTAGTAACAAGTTATTTTAACTATTCTGTAATATCATATTTAAATTAAAAAATGGCATTATGGAAACTTATCGAAACCACTAGGTAAAATAAATATTATTTAGAAAGATATTGATTTAAAACGAAAAAAATAATTAACACAAAAAAAGCTAAAAATATACAAAATATAAAAATAAAGCATATATTATTCATATATTTATATATAATGCTTTACCTTAATTCATTTACTATTGATAATTTGCTTATCTTCTCATTATCATGGCCTCCTTTTTGTTCCAAGTCTATACTTTTTTCATCATCCCTTTTTTTCACCACAAATGTTTTTGCATTCTCTTTAATAAACACTTCATCTGTCCTCTGTTCATTTCTAGAATTATGCGTAATTCTTTTAATCTTTTTTATATTTTCATGCTTTCTCTTTTTCTTTTTAAATTTAATTTGATTTATTGATGAACTTCGGCGATCTAGCATCAGCAATAAAAATAAACTGCAACCAATTTATATATATATATATATATATATATATATATATATATATATATATATATATATATATATATATATATATATATATATATATATATACACACACACACACTATAGCATATATATATACACTATAGCATATATAGACACACTATACAATTTGCAAATTGTTTTTTTATTGATTTAAATCTATATTTTTTTTTTTTAGAAAAAGAAAAAAAAAAGAATAATGAAAAAAAAGATTGCCGCCCAAACCCATAGTCGATATCAGCACACCCTTGAATGTTTTCCCTAGATCTTAGTAAATTATATATTTAAAAAATTACATTTAAACTCATTACAGATGTTAATAACATCTATAATTAATGTAAAAAAAAAAAAAAAATAAGCAAGAAATAAAAAAAAAAAAAAATTTTTGTGTCTAATTATTATAACTCTAATTTTATTATCATTTCAAATATATGATACCAAAAATAGAATAGTAAATAGTAACTATTAGAAAAGTAGATTTTTGAATTTCTAATAATTTATGCTTACATAAAAGTTTGTTATACTTAATACTTTCTATTACTATTTTTAAATTTATATTTACCATACTACTAAACTTATAAGTGTTTATAAGAATTTATATTTTATAATGAAAGTAATAAGGGTGTCAAAATGTATTCCTTTTAAAAATTATTTTTCCGCCAACTTGTTTTCCAGCCTTCGGGAAAGGTAATAAGATCAGACCTATGAAAAAAGATAAAGTATTAAGCTTGTTTTTTTAACAATGTTAAATTTTTCCTGAAAGTCTCTAGAACCTAAATTCTGAGAGAGAAACAAGCTTAGCAAAGTACTACCAGGGAAGCGTTGAGGATCCAACTCGGAACTTCTCAATTATAAAGTGAGCGCTCTACCACTACACTACTACCATGTTAATTTGGCATCTGAGCTTTACTGAATTACAGTCTTCTCCAACAACATTTCTATTTTTCCCAACTTGTTTCACAACTCTTAACACTGCATTTCTAAATCTAGCAATTCGCCTAATAACTATTTAATTATGCTCAATATACAGCTTGTTAAACCTTGTGCTTAGTGTTTTTGTTTCTAAAACATTTCTCACCTTTTACAAAACATCTTATTTCCTACAACAACTTTACCTATTTCTACGTTTTACCATCAATATTCTTTGTGTCTTTAAAGACCATGTCTATATATTTCTTTCTGACCGAATTTTTGCTCTTGCCTGAATTTTGAAACAATTAACATCTTGAAACAATAAAATACTTTATTCTCTTTCAGATTTCAGATACTTTCTGTTGATCTCATAGCATCTAAAAGTTTTACTGGTTCTTCCTGAAAAACTTTTACTCACTATTTTAATTTATCTAGTTTTAATTAGTTTCTTCATCCGAGTTTTTCCTTAAGCTTTTTCCTTAAATTTTCCTTAAACGTCAGGCCTTGTTTTAAAGCGTTGTAGAGCGATTTATGTACGCATACATACATCTCAAACAACATATCAAAATTTATGTACGTAGTAAGCAATTTTGTTTTTTTGGTTTTCCTTACTAAATATTTTTTTTTTACTCAAAATTAAATTTTAAATAAACAGCTGCATCAAAAATTTGCGCAAAACGTAAGTTAAACTTTTTATTTATAACGCAAGTTAAATCGCAGCAATTTTTTTATTTATAAAAGATATATACAGCAATATCATTTTAATAAATGATGTTTTGAAAAATTATTTTTGCTTTCACAACATAATCATTAAGTAATATAATAAACTTTTGATAAATAAAGTAAATAAACTAGCATAATTTTTTTTTAATTTTTTTATATTCCCACTACAAATAGTATTTATGCTCCCACTATAAAAAGTATTTTCTGTTAACTTTCACCATATTTAGTGTTTTTATTAACTCCCACCATAATTAGTGATTTTATAATCTACCACCATAATTAGTGTTTTAGTTAAATCCTAGCATAATTAGTGTTTTAAACATTAATTAAGGTACCTTGTGAATATTTTAATTTTAAAAAAAGTCATTAGTTTTTGCTTTTCTGCATAAATAATTATGGTCATCTAATATATTTAAAATACTTGCATGACAAAACAATCATTTGATGAAAATATACAAAAATATTAAACAGAAATATAATAAACAATACATAAAAATTAATAAAATGGTTGATAATAGCTAATATTTTACAATAATGTTATAACAATGGTTAACAATAAACAAACCAAAATAATATTTAAAAGATTAATTAAAATAGTTTGTTTTTTTAATTTTCATTTGACAGCCGAAAAAGATGTACAACAGTACAAATATATTTTTATTTTGATGCAATGTGTTTTCACTTTGAATTAAATAAGTTAATCAAAAAACTTTTTTTAAATTTAACTAAAAACCGAAGATTTAACAACTTGTTTAACTTCAAAAAACTATACACATATAAAATATATACTTTCAATATATAAATATACTCATATAATATATACTTTCAGTTCGTATAAGTATAAAACAGAAAAAGCTTATAAATTTTTGATTTTCATTATCAAAGTAATATTAATTACTATTGTTCAAAGATTTTACCTTTAAAATCTGTTTCATCAAAATTGAAATCAGAATAAGCTATTTTTTTGTCTAAAGACATATTCAGTGGTTCAATAATTGTTGGGACAGCAAACTCATGTTCGTATGATAGTATTTTATCGTATTCTTCTTTATTACAATGATTATTCATGCATACCAGCTAAAAATAACAACACCAAAAAATGTTTAAAAATTTAATATTTAAATAGTCTGAACAACTCTAACTTAAAAACATGAATTAATATATATATATATATATATATATATATATATATATATATATATATATATATATATATATATATATATATATATATATATATATATATATATATACACACACATATATATACACATATAAATATACATATATACACACATAAATATATAAAAACGCACATACATACACACATACATACATACCAACCTTCGGAATTAGGAAACATGAGGTCAGCAAAAATTTGCCTATCTTAGTCTGTTAGAGGTCAGCAAAATAATTTGATACAAAGGTTTTACCATAAAACACAGAAACAAGGTCTACGATTTTTTGACAACCTTAAACACTTCTAGGTAAGCAGTTAGGTCAACATTGCCGAATGTCGACCCTAATTCTGAGGCCTGCATACATACATACATACATACATACATACATACATACATACATACATACATACATACATACAGAGGCTATCCTCTGTATGTATGTATGTATATATGTGTGTATGTATGTATGTATATGCAGGCCTCAAAATTTGGGGCAATGGTACCCCCTGTCCCAGCAAATTTCAGTAGAAATATTGCTGAATAATTGCTGTAAAAATGTAAAAAAAATGGTCATTGATTTTAAATTTTGGTGCCGCCCAAAAATGGTTGATGCTGTCAAAAACAGTCTAGAATAACCCCTGACACACACACACACACACACACACACACACACACACACACACACACACACATATATATATATATATATATATACATACATACATACATACATACATACATACATACATACATACATACATACATACATACATACATACATACATACATACATACATACATACATACATACATACATACATACATACATACATACATACATACAAACATACAAACATACATACATATATACATTCATTTATCAACATTATGGCTTGCAGTGTAAAATACTTATCTGGATTCAGAAAGCTGTATGCAACTCTAAATATTTGAATAAAAAATAAAAAAATACATACATCAGATGATTTCAACAGATCATCTTTAAACCATAACCCTTGCTTCTCTTCTTCTGTATCATTTGTTGTACAACTTTCAGTTAAGAAAGATCTATCTAAAACAACTCCACTAAAATTTACTGGTGTGTCAAGAAATATTTCAGATATATGTTTATGAGTATTTATAGATTTTGAAATGTAGTCTTTGGGATCAAACTGTTCAGGTTTTATAAGGCTATCTTCCTGAATGTTTAAAATTTGTGATTCATCTATAAATGATGATTCACAAATTGCTTTGTCTAAAGAGTCTTTTCCTTGTTCTGCAATACATTCTTCTGGGTTCTCCATATCTCTAATCTTGACAGAGGAATATTTTTCATCACAATTATTTATATTAGAAATGATAAAACAGTCTTTTAAACTTCCCAGTTTTTCAATAGTGTTATTTACATTAGCTTCACATGACTGAAATTTTTGGCTAACATTATTATCAACTTCATTATCAGACTGGTGTCCTTCATTGTGAGATTCTTTTTTTGTAGTGATATCAACGCTATCTTCCATTTTAACATATTTGATGAACTTAAACTAAAAAAAAGGACAGATATAGACTAATAAAAATATTTTTCACATATTACAAAGGCGCAATTTTTTGGTGTTTGCAATTTACCCGAAGCATGATAGCAGCAAATTTTTAAAATAAGTAAATTTAAAATTTATTTATAAATTTAGTTGAGTAGTAATAATTTTTTTTATCAAGTTGTTGTCCTAATATTTGGGCTAAATAGGATGAGGAGTGGAGAGAACTTATCAAAAATATTGCACTCATATAAAACAGAACTGCAGTCATTGAAGTACTCCTGGAAGCAGGAACAATATCAAGATACTATAAAGCAAATAGTGTGCAATACATAAAATTAGAATATTATGAAGGAACTTTATACTGTCTACAAAAACAAGGAAAAGCTGCAACTATATATATATATATATATATATATATATATATATATATATATATATATATATATATATATATATATATATATATATATATATATATATATATATATATATATATATATATATATATATATATATATATATATATATATATATATATATATATATATATATATATATAGTTATATATATATATATAGTTATATATATATATAGTTATATATATATATAGTTATATATATATATAGTTATATATATATATATATATATATATATATATATATATATATATATATATATATATATATATATATATATATATATATATTATATATATATATATATATATATATATATATGTAAATGCGTGTTTAAATAACATGCTTGACATCACACTGAAATAGCCTGCTGCTAGAGGCAGTACATACATCTGAGTTTTTGGGATGGAAGAGCGATCTTATAATAAAGTTCAATGTTCTTAAAAGAGCAGAGCAATTATAGTAGAAAATCTCTTAACAAAAATTTTTTTTCATTTTACACTCTGTGTGTGTATGTATGTATATATATATATATATATATATATATATATATATATATATATATATATATATATATATATATATATATATATATATATATATATATATATATATACATATATATAGTAGCAATATTTAATAATAATTACTATTTTTGGGAATTGGCATTGAAAATGATCATTATGTTAATAGTTGCATATTGCGAATATTGACATTAGCAATTAAGCAACTTTTTTTAGTATTAATGTTTGATTTGCTCATTTGTTTTTGTAAAAAATTTATTGAGAAATTTTTTATTTTTTAATTTATTGTTATCAAAGGAATTTATAGTAACTTTAAACATTGTGGTATTATGGCTCATCAAATATTAGATATTGTTTAGCTATATAAAAATATGATATTGTTACATGTCAATTGTTGGATATTGAACCTTTAAAGCTAACAATATTTTAACAAGATTGTATTTACAATATAAATTGTATTGTAATCATAAAACATAGTGAAACAATAAAGCTAGTCATAATTATATTATAGATACAACTAGCTCTATTGTTACAATCTGTTGATAGCTAGTTGCTAACCAGATTAAACTAGCAATCACCATGGCCATATAACTAATTTTATTGTTTTAAATATTGTTGATTAGTTGCTAGGTGATTTGAATTTTATTATTTTGCTATTTAATGAATGGCAAAATATAATTCCTAATCACGTATCGACTAGTTAATAAGAAAATCCATAAATGATTTGCATAAACAAGGAAAAAGCATAATTGATTTATAGTGGTAGGCAAATGATAAGTATTTCCAATGTTCTGAATTTTCTTGTTTTCGTTCTTAAAATTAAAAACGAAGCAGCTAGTAAGAAAGAGATAAATAATGCGATTATCTCAATCTTATTCATGAAACAAGATTAAGTTAAATGTTAAAAAAAAAATCAAAATCGCAATCAAGATAATCATGACTAAAATACGAATAGAAAATATGAAACTAGATTATTTAAAACTTAACAAAGCGAGTGATTTTAACAATATACCGACGAATTTTAAGATTTCAGATGTGGCTCAGCTCCCTTTTAATTGCGTCACTAGAAAAACTAATGCAGGTCTTCTCTCATTTGGCTATAATTTCAATTTGACTTGATAAATCTTTGAAAAAATAAGACTGCGACAAGCCATAAGTCCCCTTTATCTGACAATCACAAGTCTTAACCCTTTTCGTTTAAAAATCGAAAACAAAGCTTTTTTTACTGATGAAACCGATTTTTTTTTTCGCTCGATTTTGTGGCGAAGAAAAATTTCAGAAAACTCTAAGAAAATAGCCAATGATTTGATTGGTTGTTATGCCGATGATTTTAATTAAATCTGATTGATTGGTTTGGGTATTCTATAGTTGTTAAATTTTGAAGTCAATAATAAAATACAACTATGATAATGTAACTCTCACGTTGTTAACATGCAATGATGCAATTTAACGAGTTTAAGGTTTCACTCATTCGTTTTTCTACAGGATAAGAGAGGGAAATAGGGAGTTCTATAGGGAAGAAAAAAAATAATCACGTGAGGATGCTTAGTTTTCCTTCGGACAAAATAAAACTTATCTTACGCATGCCCACGTGTTTATTTTTACCTTTCCTGTTCGCGTGAAAAAACGAAAGAGTGGAAACTCACCTTAATAAAAATAAAGAGTAGTTTGGATCTTGTTTTTTGGTATACAAATATTTATTATTTTATACAAATGTGGTTATTTTTATATGCCGGTATCAAGAGTGTTTCTTTAAACATTTTTTATTCAAGTAACTGTACATTAATTATGTCAACAATTTTTTAGCGTCATTTACATCCTTCCCCCCACAACATGTAAAATTTCCAGAAAATAAAGTTACGTCAACATTTGATTATAAGGGATAAAATTGATTTAAATAATCCTTAAGGGGTAAAATCGATTTGAATTCTACTTAGAAAGTAAAATGATTACCCCTAATAGAGGACGGGGAAAGGGAAAAGAATTCCTTTTTTTAAAACCAACTTTATCTACTAACTTAATCGCATGATATCGTTTATTTAATTGTCCTAGAAATACTTAATTCTATGGTTTCTATTTCAAGAGTTCTTGAATATATATCTCCAAATCTATACCTTTTTAATCATGAAAAGAAGAAGAAAGTTTTAACTTTTTTTTTATCTTCTTGTTTTTGTTATCTGCAGTGTTTGAGGTTTTTTAAAATTTTATTCATCAACATTTAACAAACAAAAAAGTTTTGACGCTATACCAACGCTTTAATTGCTATGCAATAATATGAATAAGTCTTTTCTAAAATGTCAAGAATTGTCTCATTAACGGACATTTCTAAAAATGATTGCAACATACTAACTAATGCTGAGTTAACCATAATGGATGCCGTATAAAAATAATCAGTATAATAATATTTTTTTTATAGACAGGTATTTTAGATTATGAAAAAATGAAAATGAGAAAGTATTTCTTAGAAGAATGCCGGCAAATTAATCAGAGACGTTTATATATAGCCAGAAAAATACAAAACAGTATTTTTGAGTATGACAAAACGCAGTCAAATAATTTGTAATAAAAAGAAGAGTTTATATAAAAAGTAAAATATCAAGCTAGTGCGCTTTAACATATATAAATAGTTTAGATTATTATGTAAATTTGGATAAAAGAACCTTTATCAAGATTTACATAAAAATATAAACTATTTTTAAATTCCTAATGTAGACTCTTTTAAAAGATGTTTTTCTCAGAGGAAGGGTTTCAATGATGCTCGTCAACATATATAAAAAATTTAATGTGATAAGATGATCATATTTTTTAGATGATTGTAATTTATTGTCATCTGCGTTTTAAGTAAATCTAGTCCCGGAATAGATTAACGAAGTTACAAAATACGGTTACTTTTAGTATTCTGATTTTGGTCCATTATAACACCCCATTTAAAATTGACATGAAAAATAAACTCTGCTCATATCACAGACCAACCTATCGAGAATAAGTATGCAAAAAATTTGATGAAATACAAATATTTATCACCAAGAAATAAAACAAATGTAATTACAGTACCATTGTTGTCGTGGTATTACCAAGTATTTATAAAGTATTGTTGTGGGTGTAGGGAAAAGTAAAAGTAAGGACTCAAAGACAGCAGAAAAATCGGGAAGAGTTTTAGAAGAAGAAATTTTTTTAGACACTTTTTTTAGACACATCTTTATCTGGATTGGTACAGATAATATTAAAAAAAGTTTTCTTTAATACAATTTTTACCAATCTTTTTGGATAAGTGAAAATAATATCAAAGAAATCTTAAAAAACACAAGCCATGAAAAAGTTTCATGTTATGCAAATATTGAATTTTTAAAGGACAAAAAGACAAGTCGCTTATGACTTTGGGGAACAAATATATAAGGTATAAGGTAGAAAATAAAGAAAAGAAATAGTTAAAGCTTTTTAGCATTGAGCAATTAACTTTAGCAAATCAATTGCAGAACTAGAAATATACTCAGCCATTAGCAATAACAGTTAGGAATCAGATGATTCATTTGATTTAGAACAACTAGGTCCAAGTAATCGAAAAAAAAAAAAAAAAAGAGTTAGTGAAAGATTTATCAAAGATATTTTTAGTTTCTGAAAATATTTCACCAAGAGATCTAATGCATGCATGAACAGGTTTAATTGCATGCATGACCAGGTAAAATCAGCTGGTTGATTTTTCATTGTCTCATTAAATTATTCGGTGAGCTTAAAAGAAATCTATTTTGAAAAATGCTAAACAATATAAGCAAAAAGTGCTTAAAAATGCTGCAAGTAAATTGTTATTTTATTCCAAATAGCATCTTTTGATGGGAAATTCTAGGAGATATAACAGAAGGTAAAAATCAAAAAGGGCTAGATTTGTAGTCACGGTGAATATTGATGGGGAAATGAAGCGGCTAGCGTTTTAGCTTTTGATAGTACCAAACAAGACAAACTCAATATGATTTTTTAGTTAAAATGCTTAAAGAAATAGAATATGTAATGATGTGAATGGTTTATGTTTTGATTCAATTGCTGTCTAGGAAGATATTCTGGTACCAATATCAGGTTTAGTCATAAACAAAACTCAATTTTACTAGAGTTGGCTTGTAGGCAGGGCCTTCGAGAGCGCCAATGGCGCCCGGGTCAAAATTGGAGAACCGCGCCCCTATTTCTAAACAAAAAAGTTTTTTGAACGCAGCCATGATTTATTTCTGATACAGGACTTTTTATTTCTACGTTACTATTATTTGTCTGGATTGAGAAACAGTTCATTAATCAAATCTGGCACACGAATTAAAATATTAGTTTTAAAATCAATAAATGACAAGTCAATCAACAAAATCTTAGATAAAAATAAATAAGACGCATAAAAATGAATTTTTTTAGCTTTTCTGGTCGCTTAAATATCGATGACATTGTCATAGCTTACCTTTTTAGCCTTATCTTTATTAGCAAAATCTTCAATCAAAATAATTAAAAAATCAGTAACTTTATCCTGGCTCTTGGTCAAACGGAGAGAGTTTTTAAAAATCATCAGTTTACTAAACGATCGTTCACATTCTGCAACTGAAGCAGAAATTGTGTTGAAAATGTGGAACATGGTGCTAATGTACGGAAAAAGGCGTTCAAGCTTCTTTTAAAAGATTTTATTTAGTAGCTGCAGTGGAATTCTTTGCTTAAAAACTGTTTTGCAGGCATGGTTAAAACGGCAAACTTTTTTTAATGAGACCCTCTTAATTCATATCTCTCAGATAAAACCGTGCAAATTTGCAATCTTTATTTTAAACGGAAAGATCATCATTATTCAACCAGATGAATAAAAACATAACACCAACCATCCGAATTGCTTCAAGTTGTGACTCAATCTGCTTGATTAGACTATCTAAACTAACAATAAAAAGCTTTTTTATTTCGGCTGTCGTGAAAATGAATTGTGCTCGATGCCTCATCATAAAAACGCTTCAGTTTACGTTTTTTTTGGTAGCAAGTTTAGTTTCAAAACTTAGCGGTCCAGCTACAGCTACAGTCTATTAAAAAATTTAATACATGTGAAGAAGGTCCCTTTAAAATAGCTACATCTTGATCTTTTTGACTCAAAATAGCAAAATGGGTTCGGCCACAAAATTACAGTCAGTAATAGTTATTACCGAGTCAAACTGAGCACCAAAGTTTTCCCCTGTTGGATAAAGTTCTTTCTTCTAAGTCACTTAGTCGAGTGCAGCAGGTGATCAAGAAATAGAAAGAGAGATTATTGGTTCCTCTTGGCCCTCATAGACGGACTGGGAGTCACGGTAATTATTATAAAGATTCTTAAGGTTAAAAGCTAGAAATAACAAAGAAGTTGTTTTTAATAACTTTTTTCCTTTAAAATTAAAATTTCAACATTTCCATCATCAATTTGAGCAAAAATTTTTTTCCTTACTACGTTTAAAGTAGACATTTTGTCTACGTTAAACCCAAATAAAAACTCAAATACTTAATAACTGGCCGGGTTTTGGTAAGCAAGGCGGCTAATTTGGCTAAAAAATGTGACGCTATGATTCTCTTCTTCGCTTTAACAGTCAAATACTACTTGAAAAAGAAGCCATTTTATCGTAAAATTGTCAAAAAAAATGTTTTGCTTGCTTTTACTTATTCAACAACCGCGTTGCTCACACATGAAGCGCACTACCTAATAAAGTTTTTAATGCTATCAATGCCATCTGCTTTAAAACGAAATTCGATCAGCTACCATTAAAATTACTACAGCACAGCATCTTCCGTACAACCGAGTTCGAGCTAGCATTGCTAACTGTTTATGGGCTAACGGGAAAACGGCTGGTTTTGTCTAATTTAATTACAGCTAAATCCTATTTTTTATTAAATAGTTTACAATAAATTACAATAATAGAATTTAAAATTATAATTTTTTTATCATGTGTATTTTTATTCCGAATTCTAAAGTTTCAAACTCAAATACAAAATATAAGCAGATTTCTAATTGTCAGTCATTTAAAAAATTTTTATTTATTAAAAAAAGGCCATCATGCGCCTCTTCAAGCTTGGCGCCAGGGTCAATTTGCCTCCTTTGCCCCTCCCTCTCGAAGGCCCTGCTTGTAGGAGTCATATTTATGAATCACATATCAAACATTTCTATTAGAAAAGTTTAAATGTGAAAATACTAACTCTCCAGAAAACCTGCTCAAACGGTTCAAAATAAACTGGAACAACAATGATTTATGGCATTATATTCTCAAAGTTTGTTA